TTTAAATATTCTATATTTCCTGAAATTTGTTAAGATAAAATGTTATATTAAAGTTTAAAACATAAAATAAATTATTTTTATTTGAACGAAACTCTGTTAAAATTTGGTATTTATATAATAAATAAATGAATTGTGATCTTGATTTCTGATACATTCCTGGTTTATACATTGCAATAATTTGTTATAATGAATTTATAAATTATTTTGAAAGGTATAAAGAAATTTAATAAATTATGATATTAGTACAAAGATAGAGCTTGAATCAAATTTGTATGATAAATTTTTTGATGGCCACATTTAAGTAATTTCTTTTATTGTCCAACTTAAATATAAATCTTGATATTTTTAAAAATTAGATAGAATGATGATAAATATACAATAATTGTACCTGAAAGTGGTGATAAAATTAGTATAATAAAAATTTGCATAAGCATATTATAAAATGTCTGTACAGTATAAACTTTTAGTTTATATTAAAATTTTACTTGTTTAATTGATTTGTCTGCTTCTTTTACATATTTTATTATTAAAATAAAACAACTCTAAATTCATTTTATAATTATTAATCTTACTTAAAATGAGAAAATAAAATAAATTATTTTAAATATGAACTATTACTGTGTATATTATCTAAATTGAGTTTGTAATAATGAAACTGATTTACAAAACTTAAAAACTATATTCAATAATCATTCAAAGAGAGGTGGTGTGATCGGAGACAAATATTGTGCATTTTTTAATAAGACTCTGTACAACGAATAACCAGTGTGAAGTAAGGCTAAACAATAAATAAAAAAAACGTTTTCATAACCTCTTCTGCATTTTTTGTGAGGGATTTTGGTGTTTTGGGCATAACTTTGAGAAAATTATATCATTCACTTTTAAGATATTACCTATTTAATCATTAATTGCCAGAATATAACCTAATCCGGGAACTTCATCAAAAAGGTCGTCCAAAGGTAAAAGCTGGTAAAACTGTAAATGAAGAATTGAGTGAAATGCCCATTTCATCTTACTTTGATAAAAATAATTCTAATTTGATCAAACAGCAGCATTACTACTTATTAAATATAGAAAATGTAACATGGAAAAACAAATTTTTTCAAACTCTCTTGATTTAATGCTAATTCTGGTTAGTAGTAGTAATTTATTATGACATGGTCACAATGCCAGGCTGCAATTTTTAATCATATTTTTAAATTATTTAATTTTAAATATATGCTCTCCACTTCAAATTAAGTGTCTTTTCCCTACACGTCATACTTTTCTGCCGGTCATCTAACTCCTTTTAGGAGAAAATTTCTGAATTGAAATATGACTTCCAGTACAGGAAGTTTATATATAGTTAATCGAGGCCTTCTGCTCCTAAGCTTTCTACATCTGGTATAATTTTCATCTATCTAACTCCATTCTTCAGATTAAGGAAGAACAGACGGCGGACATTTATAGGTCTACAATTTTTTCAAATTGCAGTCCAATGAGTATTTTGAAAAGAGAGATGAAAATTTTTAAAGGAGTTATAGAAGAAGAAATGACAAACAAAATAAAGAGGATTCAAATTGAAAATTATGTTTCAGATATAGTGTCTATGTACTCTGACAACAAATCTACCAGTATGTCATTTTTGCCTATTTCATACAATAGTAGAGGTAAGTCAATACAAATATGCAGGGGAGAGTAGGACATAATGCAACACAAAACATTATAAATTATAAGATGTGGGGCAGTTTTGAGTAAACATGTCAACAGATTTTTTTTAATAATAAACAATGCTTTCTACCCACGACTATAAATTAGACAGAATTAGATAACCCAATAAATAGGGTATATCAATTTGCAGGGCTTATCACAACAAGGCCAACAGAAATTTGCTATATAATCTTGAAATAGCAATAAAAAAAGAGTTAAATAAATTACCCATCTCTGAGTATAGTATCACAAACACTGACCAATTCTTAAAAAACATGACAGCTATTGTTATGAAGGAAAACTATAGAATGGCATCACTAGATGTTAACAATATGTATCCCTCAATAAACTTAGAATTAATTTTAAATTCACTGTCCTATGTGAAGAGCCCAGATTGGGTTAACCAATTAGTTAAATTAGTGTTAAATAATAACTTTTTTGAATTTCAAGGTAAGTATTACTGCTAATCGGAAGGTATTCCAATTGGATCCTGCATAGGTCCTAGATTGGCAGAGTTGTGTGTGATCACAATTGATAAAGAAATCAACAAAACCCGAGGCATAATAAGTTATCAAAGATATGTAGATGACTGTTTCATCGTCTACGATAAAAGCACACTAGATATTGACTCTTTCGTTTGTGAAATTAATTTAATAAATAAAAATGTTCAATTCCAATGTGAAAAAGAAGTAGATAATAGACTGAATTACTTAGAACTTACTATTGTTAGATTAAATGGTAAATTATTATTTAAAAAGTATGTTAAAGACTGTGCTACTGGTAAAGTTATAGACTTCAAATCTAATATACCTTTATATATAAAAAAGAACACTTTTCAGATGTATATCAACAAAATTAAAGAAAGAACAACCTTGCAAACCAATCAAATGGAAATGCAAAATATAATAAGAATGTTTAGCCTAAATAATTACCCTAGATCAGGGGTGGCCAACCTTTTGCATACCATGCGCCAATTTTTTGATAGACGAGTTCACATGCGCAGTGGCGTACCATGAGTGTTAGCAGCCCGGGGCGGAGAAACATTTCGGCCACCTCTTATTTAGGTATTTCAATTTATAAGATGAAAACATGACATCAGTGGCGTACATGAACACGAATGCATCGTGTAACTTACAGGCAAAAAAAAAAAGGTCAACAGGTCTATTGCACCGAATTGCGTAAGAAATACACTTGTCAAGTCACACTGTAAAAAATTGATTTCCTATGCAATATTCATAATTGCAATGAAGCCAAATCTGGCAATGTTGCTCGGAACCGACTGAAGCGCCACTTGCAGTCGTCCAATGCGCCAAGTTTGGCGCATGCACCACGTTTTGGCCACCCCTGCCCTAGATCATTATTGTTTAAGTGGTTGGAAACAAATAAAGGGAAAAGAAATGTGTTACGTTAAATAGAAAACCAATAGCTGTTAAGACTGTATCTAAACATAGAATATGTTTTTGAAAAATTAAAAAATGAATTAAAAAGATTAGATATTATTTTAGTACCAAACCACACAAGAACCATAGCAAAATTGATTGACAGTAAACACGAAAATAATGAACATAATGATTTAGAAAAAGATAATGTAGTTTATTCATTAGATTGCAGTTGTTCACATAAAAAAAGATACATAGGGAAAACTGGAAGAAAATTAAAGAACATATCAAATTATTTTTAATGGCATATATATCATTATCAGTGGCACAACATTGCAACACTGAAGGTTGTGAAATTTTAAAAGATAGCATCAAGTGTATTATGACAGAAAACAATCAACTAAAAAGAAGACTACAGGAACACCTAGAAATTCTGAAAATACAGGAAGACATCAGAATTAATAACAATGTGGGACTGAAGCTACATGAGGGGTGGATTGACATCATTTTCACTTAACCTTGAAACAGATGCTGAACAGATGTGGGGAGTATAGTCACATCACTTTGTAAAAATGCATTGTGACAGAGCAGTTGACTTCACAAAGTCTTATAGATCAGATGTATTTTGTTTGTGTTAAAATCTGGAGACCAATTGGTTTTAATAAGATGTAACCATCTACCAGAATTTGGAAAATGTAGGAGAAACTAAGACATTTACTGGTCCCAGATAATATATTATACCACATTGTCATTGTATTCTAATTTATACTTGATATTTTAGTTTTTAGTGTATGGGTTACATTGAGAAATTGTAAATGCAGTGCACTGCATATGTTGGTTATCCCGTTGTATTGGCTGGTTATTGGTGTTGTATTTGTTACATTGTTACCACGTGTTTGTAAACTAATGAGGAGTCCTTGTGTGGGGCCGAGGGGGGGAGAAATAAAAAGTCTTTCGACGAACGATAATAGTTGATACGTATCGTCATCGTCTCCCTTGCCGTTTGGATTGCCGAGCGGTAACAATCAACGCCATGTGGAAGCAGTTGAGTCAGAGATAGATGCCTCGTTTACAAACAACACAACCGTTTATTAAACACGAAAGAAGCTTACAAGATTCCCGCGATCTTGGAAGTTCTGCGGCGGCTGCAGCCTCTGGGTCTTCCTCTCCTTTCCAAGATAGTCCCATTTTGAAGTAGTGTCCCTTGTTCGCGTATGAACCATTCCATCACGTCTCGATGACTCCGGGACGATGCGGTCGACTTCCGTTGATGGAAAGTTTTCGATCCGTGGTCGGGAGATGGAGACGAAGATGGGTGCGACACACACACACACAACAACAGGTCGGTCACTTGGAACTTTCGGGAGAAGAAGCCGTCGCGTCCTCGAATTTCCGGGGTTTTATCNTTTTGATATCGTTAATCTTACTATTTATACGAATGTGAGAGTGGATAAATCTAAATAAGAAATTTTATTTAGGCACTTATTAATATTAATATATACTGTACTATGAATTAAATTTATTTTATTGTTATAACTAATCGCCAAGGATAAAATAAAAAGTTTTAAATATCAACTTTTTTTTACTTGGTTGTTGCACGAGGCCCCGGGCGATTGCCCTGCTCGCCACCCCCTAAGGCCGCCACTGAAGAAAGATAAAATTTTTTACAAATATGGTTAAATTATAATATTGTGATGAACAAAAAATAGATTTTTACATTTAAAATGTTTTATATTTTAGGTATTTACATAAATCTTATAAAAAAATCAAAGCTTTGTATATACATATTTAAAAGAAACATTATCAACAGTTTTTCAAAAGTTAGAAAATAACTGTTCAGTTTAGATATTATTATAATGTTTTCAATTATTTATGATATGCATATTTACATTGATAAGTGAGTAATTTCAATTGGAATATTTTATATATATTACAGTTTATATCTTCAATGTCAAAACTATTCTCATTCTGACATAGTCATTGCATTTGAAGCAGCATTATCATCATTTCATTCATCCAACATTTTAAAGATTATTTGGTGGCAGTAAGTATTTATTTTTATAAAATATTGATGATTGTATAATTTCTGTAATACTGAAATAAAAGAAGTTACTACTGTAGCTACTAATTTTTAAATCATGAGAGAATTTTTAAGTTAATTGCAAAATATATATTTAATTTTAAATGGGAAATTAACTTGTGTTTATAATTCAAAGAACAACAAAAGTTTTTATTAATAAAAGTATTGTATGTGCATAATAATTAATTAAATTCATTATTTGTAGTGTTGATATTTATATTTTTGTTAAGATTTTGTAATTTTTATTACCTATTGTAAACTTATGAATTTTTAATTTTAGCGAATATTATGAGTATAATAGTAATTTATTATAATGAATGCTATTATATTCATTAAAAAGTTAGTTTATAAAATACTGTGAAATGTTTTTACATATGTTAACTCATTTTTTAGAAACATCAAACTAATGTTTCATTATTAAAACAATATAAACTAAAAATATTAAATAATAATAATAATTAGTATAATTATTATTATTTAATATTTATTAGCATAAAGGGTGGGTACTTTGTTACTCCAGGGCTAAGAAATTACAAATATTAAAATATACAAAAATAATTTTTATTTTTGTCTACATAGTTTTAGTTTCTAATTGGTTATTTGTCAAAATTCAATTTTTGGATTATCTTATTTTTGATATTTTGTTAATTTTTGAATGGTTTATTCTTTAAATTTTTTAAAGTTTATTTATTTATTTACACTGTAAATAAATGACAAACCTATAAAAGTTGCTTCTGAAACAACAAATTCAAATGCAAGATAAAATGTGTGTATATGTATACATAAATAAATACATATATGTAAATTATATACATACATACATAAATTTGCTACATTTATTTTTTGGAAAATGCCTGAGATTAACAAAATTAATATTTATTAAACAATTTAGAATATTCTGGAAGAAAATTGTTAATTTATTTTTTTTTTAATATATTAAATAAATATGAAATATTTTTATATATACATATGTACATACAATTTTTCATAAAAAAATAGTATTTTACATATTAAATAATTATATATAAAATTTGTTTTTTTAATTTTATTATTATTATGAAATGTGATTAATTTTGCTGTTTTCTAGATATATTCATTATTCATTCTTCTATGTGTCATCAAAAGGAACAAGCATCAAAAGTTTAATAACTTTAATATCAGAATGTGTTATAAGTATGCCAATGAATGTTTCTCTTCCACATATTCCTGGAAAGTTCAGAACTGATTATAGCTTCCACACTGCCTTGACAGATTTATTTCTTACTTTTTCACAATATTGCTTTGATAAAGCAACCATGGCTGAAAGGTTTCTTCAAATGATGCCAAATAATACAGCAACTATTGAAAGGTTTTATCATTTGTTATTTGTTTTATACATATTTATTTATTTAATTTTTATTATTCTGAAAATTAGCATTCTCCTTTAATAAAATTTAAAAAAAACAGTAAATATTTACAAATTTTGAAAAACTTAAAAAAAGATCCTTGTTAAAAAAGGAAAATAAAAAGAAACATTTCAAAGAATGATAGTGTTCACTTTATGACAAATACACATTTCTTAACAAACCTTTCCTTATAGGTTACTCTTGGAGCCAGAGTTTTATCCTCCCTGTAGTCAACTCCTGTTGGAACTGCCCACAATTAATTTGCATAATAGTAAACATTTATATTTATTTATGTATACCTAAGTTACACAGTTTAAATGTAGAATAATAAATAAACAAAAACTATCATTATTAACTAAGATTGATGCAAAGTATTTTTAAGATCCAATAATATAGCACACAATTTTTTAAAATCTATGAATTTAAAGTTTAAAGCAAAATTTGACATTAATAATTAAAATATATTAGCTTTTAAGCACTAAATTAGTTTCTCTGACTGATATACTGCTAAAACCATAAAATAATAAATAATAAACTGATATACTGTAAAATCAATAAGATGAACCAATGACCTGCAGAACATTCTCATGAGAATGTATTGCATGTCATTGGTTTAGCAGTGTATCAGTTTATCATTCTATTTTACTGTTTTAACAGTAAAATAGAATTAACATTATTATGTATATTTTTTGTCTTATTGCTTGTTTGATTTTAATGTTCTATGCATCAAATCGGCACGTTAAATCACAAACAAAAAGTCTGATCTGTAACAAATATTTTATCAATGTCATTTTACCAATTGTCACTGTATTTTTTGTAAATGTGCTAACATCAAACTCAAAATTATTTATTGTACAACATGCTGAAGAGGGACTTAAGGTCCAAAATGCATTCAATTTTGAAATAATAAAGTGATTTTCTAAGGCTAATCTGATGTCCTGTGGCAGTGTAGCAAGTCTAGCAACAGAGAAAGGCTAATTTAGTGCTTACAAGCTAATATATTTTAATTATTAATGTCAAATTTTGCTTTAAACTTTAAATTCATAGATTTTAAAAAATTGTGTGCTATATTATTGGATCTTAAAAATACTTTGCATCAATCTCAGTTAGTAATGATAGTTTTTGTTTATTTATTATTCTACATTTAAACTATGTAACTTAGGTATACATAAATATTAATTATGAAAAAGTTATATTAGTTAGAACTTAGACAGAATTAGATAGCCTAATAAATAGGGTATAACAATTTGCAGGGCTTATCACACCAAGGCCAACAGAAAGAAGGACCAGAACTTTTATAAAAAAAAAGGTTTGGTCTTTAATAATCACATTTCAAATTTAGGTAAGTATGCATTTCAGGTACGAGGACCCCTCATCAGCTTACAAACACATGGTAACAACTTAACAAATACAACACAATAACCAGCCAATACAACAGGATAACCAACATTGCACTGCATTTACAATTTCTCAATGTAACTCATACACTAAAAACTAAAATATCAAGTATAAATTTGAATACAATGACAATGTGATGTAACATATTATCTGGGACCAGTAAATGTCTTAGTCTCTCCTACATTTTCCAAATTCTGGTAGACAGTTACACTATTAATGATAAATATTGTTAAGTATATTAAAACATACAAAAAAAAGGGAGGAAGCTAACAATGAACTTACTCTTATTACAACCAATTGGCCTCCAGATTTTAACACAAACAAAATACACCTGATCTATAAGACTTTGTGAAGTTAACTGCTCTGTCACAATGCATTTTTACAAATTACTTAAAAAACATGAAAGCTATTGTTAGGAAGGAAAACTATAGAATGACATCACTAGATATTAACAGTATGTATTCCTCAATAACCTTAGAATTAATTTTAAATTCACTGTCCTATGTGAAGAGCCCAGATTGGGTTAACCAATTAGTTAAATTAGTGTTAAATAATAACTTTTTTGAATTTCAAGGTAAATATTACTGCCAATCAGAAGGTATTCCAATGGGATCCTGCATAGGTCCTAGATTGGCAGAGTTGTGTATGATCACAATTGATAAAGAAATCAACAAAACCCGAGGCATAATAAGTTATCAAAGATATGTAGATAACTGTTTCATCATCTATGATAAAAGCTTACTAGATATATTGACTCTTTCGTTTGTGAAATTAATTTAATAAATAAAAATGTTCAATTCCAATGTGAAAAAGAAGTAGATAATAGACTGAATTACTTAGAACTTACTATTGTTAGNATATTGACTCTTTCGTTTGTGAAATTAATTTAATAAATAAAAATGTTCAATTCCAATGTGAAAAAGAAGTAGATAATAGACTGAATTACTTAGAACTTACTATTGTTAGATTAAATGGTAAATTATTATTTAAAAAGTATGTTAAAGACTGTGCTACCGGTAAAGTTATAGACTTCAAATCTAATAAACCGTTATATATGAAAAAGAATACTTTTCAGATGTATATCAACAAAATTAAAGAAAGAATGACCTTGCAAACCGATCAGAAATGGAAATACAAAATATAATAAGAATGTTTAGCCTAAATAATTACCCTAGAACATTATTGTTTAAGTGGTTGGAAACAAGTAAAGGGAAAAGAAAAAATGTTCCATTAAATAGACAACCAATAGCTGTTAAGACTGTGTATCTAAAAATCGAATATGTTTTTGGTATTTTTGAAAAATTAAAACAAATTAAAAAGATTAGATATTATTTTAGTACCAAACCACACAAGAACCATAGCAAAATTGATTAACAGTAAACATGAAAATAATGAACATAATGATTTAGAAAAAGATAATGTAGTTTATTCATTAGATTGCAGTTGTTCACATAAAAAAAAGATACATAGGGGAAACTGGAAGAAAATTAAAGACAAGGATTAAAGAACATATATATGCCATTAAAAATAATTTGATGTCATCATCAGTGGCACAACATTGCAACACTGAAGGTTGTGAAATTTTAAAAGATAGTATCAAGTGTATTATGACAAAACAATCAACTAAAAAGAAGACTACAGGAACACTTAGAAATTCTGAAAATACAGGAAGACATCAGAATTAATAACAATGTGGGACTGAAGCTACATGAGGGATGGATTGACATCCTTTTCACCTAAACCTTGAAACAGATGCTGAACAGATGTGGGAGTATAGTCACATTGCTTTGTAAAAATGCATTGTGACAGAGCAGTTGACTTCACAAAGTCTTATAGATCAGGTGTATTTTGTTTGTGTTAAAATCTGGAGACCAATTGGTTGTAATAAGAGTAAGTTCATTGTTAGCTTCCTCCCCTTTTTTTTGTGTGTTTTAATATACTTAACAATATTTATCATTAATAGTGTAACCGTCTACCAGAATTTGGAAAATGTAGGAGAGACTAAGATATTTACTGGTCCCAGATAATTTATACTACATTGTCATTGTATTCAAATTTATACTTGATATTTTAGTTTTTAGTGTATGGGTTACATTGAGAAATTGTAAATGCAATGCACTGCATATGTTGGTTATCCTGGGCCGTAACGCAGAACACCTAGGTTAGAATTCTGAGTAGCTTAATGGGCGGAGCTAAGAATACATAAAAGAAGCTAGTGGTGGGAGAAGTCAAGCAGTAGTTAGAAACAAGTTCAACAGTGCAGCATAACTAGATTTAGCAAGAATTCTGCGTTACTGAACACGGCCCTGTTGTATTGGCTGGTTATTGGTGTTGTATTTGTTAAGTTGTTACCATGTGTTTGTAAGCTGATGAGGGGTCCTTGTACCTGAAATGCATACTTACCTAAATTTGAATTGTGATTATCAAAGACCAACCCTTTTTTTTTATAAAAGTTCTGGTCCTTCTTTCTGTCAGCTTCGGTGAGATAAGCCCTGCAAATTGTTATACCCGATTTATTAGGTTATCTAATTCTGTCTAATTTATAGTTGAGGGCAAAAAAGCATTGCTTATTATTATTAGTTAGAACTTATTATACTGTTCCCAAAATCTATATCTTGCTAATAAAACTCAAAATGTTTAAAATATGCAGTGATATTTTAATGAATTTATTCTTTTTATATAATTAAATTAAATTAAATTAATTAATTGAAACATTTTTAAAATATATATTAAAAATCAAATGTATAATTAATGTATATTATTTGTTAATTATTTATTATAATAATTTATTTTTAAAGGGCAATGTATTTTTATATGACTTCTGGAAAGGATGAAGATGCTTTGTCATTGATTAAAAAGAAACTTAATAATAAAGTATATAATTTGAATTTATGGAGAATGTAAGTTTATATATTATTTTCATTATTTTAAATTACTAATTATATTTGAAAATTGATATGAATATTGTGTGTGATGTGAGTTATATTGGAGATGTTGGTATGCATACAATGCTCTGTTTCAGTGTACTGCACAATGTATTTTAATTGTCATTGTACAATTATTTATAGAGGAGAAGGTAGTATTATGGAACCCCAATTACATTTTAGTGAATTGTAAACAAGTATCATAACTACACCCACATTTTTTGTGTGAAAAGTACTGGTAACTATTAAACTAAATGTTCCAAATTGGATTTTTTGCTAGTATAACTATAAGTATGGTTTTTGAAGGCTTTTGTACAAAAAGTCAGAAAGTAGGCTTAGAGAAAATCGGGTGGTAATATGGAACTTTACTGTATGTTTTCAAAAAATGCTTTAATGTAGCCAAAAACAAATAGGAAAGTACAAAAAATATTAAATAATTACCAAATTATTTACTCCAATGTATTTTATCGCAAAAATGCTTTTATAATAGAAAAATATGACCTTCATCAACAATATATATTCCAGCAGCTCTTTTTCGATATTATCAGGAAGAATTGACTTTCTACTTAGTGTCTTTTTTGCAAATTGCTCCTGATGAATGTCTGCTTGCAAAGAGAGCGTTCGGAGGAGTTGAGTTCCATATTACTGTAAAAGCACCAATGGGGTCCTTATTTTACGCATTACCATCTTGAATTAACTTATTTATGTCAAGACCAAAATTTAAAAAACATGAACATCACATAGATTAATATGTACCCCTAAGTCTCTGGAACAGAATACATGCACCAGTGAACCTACAATTACACGATTTATATTTTAAAAATAATTAAATTCACTTGGCATTCAAAACTTGAGAAGCTTCTTGATAAGCTTAAGAGTTCAGCATTAACACGATTTTCTTATATCACAAGTACTTTCGACGAGTATTATATTGTCGAAAGTACTTGAGATATAAAAAAATCAGTGCTTGTTATCAAGAAGCTATACAATTTTGGTGTGAGTTTTATTTATTTGACTTCTAAAACTTGAGAATTTTGAAAAAAACAAATTTGCTGATTAAATACGGACAACCGTTTAACTGAAGTAAAATGGGTTTTCCCCTTGCTATGGATGTCTGCCTAGTTCAGTTCAGTCACAATCCACTACAGTTCGCTTTTATTATCAGTTCGAAATGGGGTGGTTCCATAATACCATCTTTTCCTCTACTGTTTTAGTAGTACTATTTTACTTATGAAAAAACTTCATTTTATACACTTTACAAGTTGTTGTATTAAAAGAATATGTTCGATTTTTTTTTATTATTCATTCTATTATTCACAGATGTAAATAGGGTTAAAACTCATGCTTGCAGAATACAACTAATACTACATTTATACTAAACTAAATGAGAAAAGTTTACATTATACAACAAAAAATTTGCTAACATTATATGTGCCTTTCTGGAATGCAACCTTTGAATAAATTAATTAAGAATCCTCTGCATATACAATACAGTTTTGAAGATAAAAACTATATTGATTTAGTGTTAACCCTGACTGGGTTGACTTTTATCCTAATTTTCAACCCAGTCAAATAAGTCAAATTCAGAAATATTTTGCTTTTCAAATTTATTATACAAAATATTGCATTATTCAAAATTATTTGCATTTGAAATTCGTTATTGATGACTCAGTTTTGTATGTTTTACTTGATATTTTTTAAAATTGTATATCTGTGTGTGTATATAAAATTGTTTTTGTAGATCTATAAAGTGATTGTCACTCAAATTTATTGAATACAATAAAATAACAAATTAATTGATTTGGGAATTTTTTATTCTTACTGATAGATGATCAAAAAAAAGTTATCAGTTAAATAATATTTTTTGAAATAAAATTAAATTCTTTTGTAAACAGTTTTGTTTTAAAAAACCATTAAAAAACCATTTACGGGTTTTTTAACAACGTAAGTTGGGTATACCCCAACTTACGTTGTTTCGAGTTACGTTGTTCCCGATTATACGTCGTTTGTCAAAAAAATTATATGGAAAAATAAAAATTAAGTTTTAAGTCATTTTATTCGACGTCTGTTTGCCACAAATATTGAAGTCGTAATATCACTAGAAAAACGTTTAAAGCACATAAAATCATATTAAAATATATACATTTACAAGTATATACTGTATTTACAGTACCTGCATTCATAAATTAAGATTACTTTTTTCTGTACTATATTAAAAACTAAAATCTGTTTGTAAGCTTAAAATAGATCCTTATTAACCATATATTATTAAAAATGCATTAATAAATAAAATACAGAACAGGGAATGGTAATTTATGGTTTAGCCTAGTGACAAGTAGATGCAGAAACAAGTAAATTCGACTTACGTCACCTCTCCTGGAACTAATTGCCGACGTAAGGCGAGGTATACCTGTAGTCATAAAATAGATGATACTTTTAATTACATCAATAGAACAAAAACAGAATGAAGGTCAATAAAAAGTTTGTAGCTAATTTTAATGATCTTAATGTACTATATGCTGAGACATAATTGTATTAATTGAACTTTATTTTAAAAATTGAAAAATAAATAATTTTAAGCTGAAAATTAGGATAAAAGTCAACCCAGTCAGTTTTCTGAAGCAATTCTTTTTTGAAGGCTATCTAAATATGTTTTAAAACTGATTCATTTATAGTATGTTTTTAGTGCAATATTAAAATTTTATGAATATAAGCTAAGTATATTTAAATATATAGATATGCATTTTATATTGTGTAAAATATTAAATTAATAAATATTGTCTATTAATGTAAAATTTTATTAATGCAGGGCAATTTATTTGCTGTTAAAGGAAAATGATCAGCAAGAAGTAAGTTATATTAACAGTTTCAAAATTTTATGTTCTTGTTACTTATCTTCTAAAAAATTGTATTCATGACATTATTTGACAAGTTAATTTCTAGAAAAAATGTTTAACTTAATTTTTATTCAAATATATACAAAGTATGTATTTAAACTTTTCTGAAAAATACAATTAATTGCTTAAGATATAACATTCAAATAAATAAATAAATAACATATTTGAAGTTACAGTGGTACCTCAGGTTACAAACGCCCCAGCATACAAAATTTTCAGGATATGACATGAAATTCGAACATATTTTTGCTCCACAATACGAACAAAAACTCACCATACGACGTTACATTAGTTCACATTTTTCATTTGTTTTTCTTACTACAGTTATTTTTTTTTAAATGTATTACTTGGCTTTAATTTGAGTGTGTTTTTCGCGTTGGAACGAATTATTTGGTTTTACATGTAATCGTATGGGAAAAGATGATCCACCTTACGACATTTTCATGATACGATCTCAGTTTCGGAATGGATTAATTTTGTATCCTGAGGTACCACTGTATAATTTTTTAATAATAGTATTATTTTTTGTGATTATATCACACCTACATAATTATATATTTAATTTGTTTTTAGTTTTTCTAATTTATTTTCATTGCTATTGTATTTGTTATATTTGGAGGAAATAATTTCTTGTCTCTATGGCATTACTTAATATAATTTAATATAAATAATTGTACTCTAATAGTATAAATGCTTAATTTAAAGTTGTTTTGGATAATACCACTTTCTATAAATATTATAATATTAGATAAAAATATATTAAAAAATGAGTACAAGTTATTTAAATTGTACTATTTTTATTATTTGTCATGACATTATCATTTGTTAATTTTAATTCAGAAATCTTAATAACTTAATAAAGCGTTACTTATTACAAAAGTATCATGTGGGAATATTTTAATAATATAAATAATTTTACAATATTGAGATATATATAAAATATTATAAATGTAGTTCAAAATGTTACAGGTACATAAAACATATAATGAAGCCATCCAAACATTGCCAAATAGTGCTGTTTTATGGAGAGAGGTAAGAGACTTCATTTAAAATCTAAATACAAGGTCTGTTCAAAAAGAATCGGACTTTTATTTTTTCCGTGTAAACCATTGATGCGCGGGAGGCCTCTTTCGGTGGAGTTGTGGAGGGGACAGTCATGCACAGCCCTGAATTTTTTCCCGCCTGCAGGAAGCGTCAGTCGTTGGCAATCGGCCTATGAGTGACTCCTTTGGTGGAGTTGTGGAGGGGACAGTCATGCACAGCCCTGAATTTTTTCCCGCCTGCAGGAAGCGTCAGTCGTTGGCAGTCGGCCTATGAGTGAGGTCATGTAGCAAGCTCTCGTCGGATTCCACTAAGTTGGAAAATGACTAAACAATGTGAGCAGCGATATTACATCAAATTTTGCCAAAAACCTTGGTGATACCCGAGTGTAAACCATTCGCAAGATTCAGCAGGCTTTTGGGGACGATCCTCGAGGCCAAAAAAAGCCCAGCAGGCCCGCAGCAATATCAAGGTCATGTTGACAGTTTTTTTGACTCTCGTGGGGTGGTGTATCGTGAGTACGCACCACAAGGCCAAACCATCGCAAAGGAGTACTACCAGGAGGTCCTTTGTCTTTCCGATGCTGTGTGACGCAAACGACCGGATCTGTGGTCGATCAAAACTTGGCAGCTCCATCGTGATAACACATCCGCCCATTCTGCACATCTGATTCGGGCTTTCGTCACCAAACACGACACTCCTGTGGTTTGTCACGCTTCGTACTCTCCCCACATGGCTCTGTGTGACTTTTGTTGGCTATTTCCCAAGCTGAAAATGCCGCTAAAAGGAACCTGATTTTAGTCGAGAGAAGACATCACGCGGAATGCGACGGACCGGCTGATGGCCATTCCAAAAGATGCGTTCCAGCAGTGTTTCCAGCAATGGCAGGAATGCTGGGAGAAGTGTATACATTACCAAGGAGACTACTTTGAAGGGGATTAGGCTTTTTGTACCTCAAAATCAATAAATGTATTTTTGCCGACCAAAGGTCCGATACTTTTTGAACAGACCTTGTATAATCCCAAATAGTTAAAATTTTTATCAAAATTGCTATTTTAATTTTCTCATAATAAATTTCAATATCATTAATTTTTATTCCGTTTACATTTAAGTAAACTATTAGAAGTAATGATGTATTTTTTGTTTTTGTCATTTCAAAAATGAATTTCTAGTACCTAAAATATGAAATATCAGAAAATCACAAAGAACATATAGAAATGATTATGGAAAAATGTAAACAACTTCAAATTAATATTGTAGATGATAGGAGATGATATTTTCAAAATATAAGGTATTGTAATAATTTATTTTTATTTTATATATTTAAATACATATTTTTACAGTTAATATAAAGTGTAATAAATGTTTATTTTTAATCAATTATTTCTATATCTATATTATCTATATCTAAAAATGATGATTATTATGATATCAGTTATAGAAATGAATGTTGGAAAATTAGTTTTGAATTGTTTAAAAAATTTTTCTTATGTATCTATTAGTTAATTCATAAATTACTTAAATAATCTTTTTAACTTATCTGAAATCTAGTTAAATTTGATAAGCAAACAAATATTTAAAGAATTAAAATATTTATTGTTCTATGTATTATTTAATATATAGAACAATAAACAATTAAATATATATTTAATATATTATTTAGATTCTTTTTATGTAAAAAGATGTTTAAATTCAAAAACTCAAGAAGAATGAGAAATAGCTTTTTTGCTGAACAAACTGCTTTTTTGCAGAGAATCTATTTCTCTAAGTATGATGAATGAATACAAAAAAGTCTTCAAACTTTTTTGTCATGCTGGTTGTATTCTCTCAGAAATGTCAGTTTGAACAATATTTTCCATTGATTTAACATTAAATTTTTATCGTTGTACTTGTGATAAAAATGTTAATTTCATTGATCACAAATAATTTCATTACAAATTATTACAGTAAACTTATAAATAGCACTCCACATTATAAAGGTATATATAGTTGAATGCTATTTTAAAAGAATGATGATCTCACATAATATTTATGTACTGTACCTAGTGCACAGAAATTGAATTCATTTATAATACTTGTAATATATTTTGCTTACTACACAGAAATACTATGAGTTATTAAGAAGTATATTAAATAAATTTTAATATTTAATAGCTATATTAAAATTTATATAATATATGATATATTAAAAATAATAAAATTAATTTAGCAATAGAAATGAAATCTAATGAATGTTATTAAATAATTATTTTAAGATAAAGCCTTTGTCTGAATTAGAATATTAAGTTATAATAAGCATGGACTAGATCAGTTTTGTTCAGATAAAAATGATATTTTGTTTATTTTTTATAATAGAAAATAAACAAGGATTGATAAGTGATGATTCTGTATATAAAGGATATGATAATAAAATGAGCCATATTTTTAGACAAAAAAACAGCAGCAAGGAACAATTGTCATAGAACTTCAGATTTAATTTTCAAACTATTTTGGGTTTAAAAATTTTAACTTTTTGGAAAATTTTAAATAGAAGAAAAATTGAATAATTTGTAAAAATAATTAGAAGCCAGATACTAACTCTTGTTTTACAGATCAGAAATCAGTTTTTTTTTTTTTTTTGTTTTGTTTACTTTTTGAGGGAGTTTTGTATGAATTCTATTGTTTCTCTCCTGTTATAGCAATTAATTCTTTATTGATAACTTTCAAATAGGACACTTTTAACATTATTTTAATAACAAATTGAAGTCAATAAATGTAATTTTCCATTTCAGTTGGCTATTTGAAATTTGATATGCTTATTTTTTGGATCAAATTACATACTAACATTATTTTTAAGATTACTTTTATCTAATGCAAAGTATTTTACATGCTTAGAAAGTAGAAAAATGATGAAATAAAAGGTAAACAAATTTTTTTGATTCACTGTTGATAGTTACACAATTTTGGAATAAAAAGGAGTTTAATAACATGGACAGGATAGAAACTGCAAGACTTCTGGAAGGTTAAAAATTTAAAATAAATAAATACTATTTTTGTTCCATTAATTTAAAATAAAGCAAAACGTTATTTTTATAGCTTTGTATTTTAAAATTAAGCTGACACATTGTATAAATGAACACTGGTTCAGTTTTAAAATAATAATTAAATGGGAGAAAGCTTCAGAAATTTTTTGAAAAGAAAAATATTCAGAAAAATTTCTGAATATTTTCAGAATTCTTAAATTTATAATTCATATTAAAAATATAAAATATTCACTTTTAGTATTTAAAAAAAAATATTCAAATTATTTTTAGAGTTTAACATAAATAAATATTTTGTTTATTATTATTATTATTATTATATTGTCATTCTAGAAAAGAAATTCAGAATCAGCTTTAAAACAAAATTTTATGCCAAATTCCAAGTAAGTATTCTTAATATATACATATACATTCTACCTTAAATACACACTTTTTTTTACATTCATTTTGTTTTAATAATTTGCAACTTGTGTTTTGTATATATTTACATATACATGTATATATACATATGTATTTTTGTTTTATGTTTGTTCAAAACAAAACATCAGCATCACTATAATGTCTTGTTTTATGCATGATTCAATAATTTCATTTGCCGATCTCAGTACAGGACTTAAAAGTATAAGTGTTTGAAAGTTTTTTATACTTTAAATGAAATTGCCAAGAAAAAAGTATAAACAAAATTATCTTATCTTAAATTTTTTTGTACAATTGCCACAAAATACTGCCAAGAAAATTGTAGTAATGAAGAAACAGTTGAGACTTTTATACTGGAACTGTGATTAAACCTCAGTGCCATTTATAGAAGATTGCTAACTTAATAGGAAAACACTCGTTTGTTTATAGACAGCAAAATTAATTGGATATTTATTATAGTAGTCATTCAACTGTACAAAATTAATATTTTAAAGAAAAATTTATAGTAAAATATTTAAAGTATTGTAATATTCAGTTGAATGACTACATACTTGAGAATGTATATATGTCTATTGTGTTTTTTTCAATCATGTAAAAAAAAGAAAAACAAGAATAAATAACTTTGAAGTGAACTTTGCTTGTTGTATTTGCTTAAAATTACATTGCACAAAAATAGCTTTAAATTTATTAAATTTATTCACTTATATGAGTACAGAGTGGTTTAAAAATCAGTAATTGATAAAAAAAAAAAACTAAATTGTTGCATCAAATAAATATTTTATTACTTAGAACATTTACAAAGTGTTTGAAATGAATTTCTTCTTGTTTAATACACATTATGTTTTTACAGATTTAGTTTGATTCATAATTTCAAGTACAGTCGACCCCCCTATAAGATCATTGATTTTTCCATTTTATCTGAATTACATGTTGTACGAGTCACTTAGATTTTACAAATATGTGAGCCATTCACAGTCCGGCACACGTATTTGTAAAATCTAAGTGACTCGTACAACATGTAATTCAGATAAAACGGAAAAATCAATGATCTTATAGGGGGGTCGACTGTATA